TTTTTCATGATAAGCAAAAAATTATTACAGGCAAAATGAGATACAGTAATTTGAGTAATAACATGATAATAAGCGAGCTGTGAACAACAATTACAATTCAAATACAGTAGTAAAGCAAGACTTTGCAGTAGTGAAGCAAGTTGATGGGCGGGCGGCACACATGACCGACACAACTCGGCACCAGAGCTGGCAGAGCACCCCCCCCCCCCCTACCAGATCATGCTGGATCCATCCCTGTGTTGCAAAATGTATTTTCTTCATAGTCAGGCATTCACATGAATGAAGATTAGAATTTCATCATGTTATATAGTCTTAAATATTTAGGAGGGGTCTCCATTATTAAATTAAGAGATTAAAAAGGGGTCCCATGACATTTTGACATAAGAATCTCCCACCCCACCCTAGGGTATAATGAATGGTCACTTAAAGTACATGCCATCTTCTAACTGGTTGGGCACCTTACCCCTTTTGTGATGGAAAATCTATTCCCTACCTTTATCCCCTGGGACAAAAAATTCAAATCAACTCTCCACCCTGATAATGTGCAGATGGTAACAGCAAGAATTGAAGTCAGCAAGGTTTACTGGAGTACATACTATTATTAGGAAGCATCAATTCGCACATGCTAATTTGCCAGTCATGATTTAAACGGAATATTTCTTATCTTGTATAGAACTCTTAAGGTCTTGTTTACATTTTACTGGAAGCAAACTAAGATGCATATGTCCAATATTTGGGTCATATCACTCATATGTCAGTTTTGCAGCTTGCCAGCTTCAACAACATTTGGCTGCAAGGAAAACGTAAACAAGGAAAGAGCATATAACCCTTCATCTGTGTTTAAAATATCAATGAATAAATATTCCAACCATTGGCACTTTATAATATAAGTGACATTCAACAATAGATCAATAACATATACAGTATATGCAAAAACATTTCTTTGAATCACTGTATAAAATATTCCTCATAAACTCGCTCCAATCGTCGCACAGCAGAGGCTTTGGAAGGGTAAAACCAAGTTTAACATCCCCAGTTCAAAACACTTTCCGTGTCCTCTTAGGCAAGCCTGTCCAGCTGGAGAACATCTGTCGTATATTTCAATGGCTGTTAATTTTGTTTAGCGAACGAACGATATTTACCAAACCCAGTTGGAAGAACAGCAACTACATAGTTCCCATGTAATAAAAGCTGAAGAATCTGATTTCGAGTACGTCGGTAGCAAAAAGAAGGAAAAATTTCAAAGACTAAACGCATTTTTAACCCGCTCAAAGCACTTAAATTTTGTGGACACTCTTAGGTTGGCGGCCCATCTTGGATTTTCTAATTTATTATTATTATAATTTATTACACCCACTATATCTGGGTGTTGAAAGTCATGTGACCGGCCGGTGCCAGGGCCTTTTCCCGCCTTCCCAATGACAAAAAAGGGAAAAGCCCTGGGAACGAGGTTGTGTCATCACTGCTTGGAACCTGGTCCTCACAGGCAGGAACTTTGTACTCAACGCCAAAAACCTTTTCCTCTACGCCAGGAACCTAGTCGTCACCAACAGGAAACCTTGTCCTCACCGCCAGCAACCTTGTCCTCGCAACCAGGAACCTTGTCCTCACCGCCACGAACGTTGGCCTCACCGCCAGGAATCTTGTCGTCACCGCCAGGAACATTGTCCTCACCGCCAGGAACCTTGTCCTCACCGCCAGGAAGTTTGTACTCAACGCCCAAAACCTTTTCCTCAGCGCCAGGAACCTTGCCCTCACCGCTTGGAACCTTGTTCTCACCGCCAGGAACCTTGTCCTCACCGCAAGGAACTTTGTACTCAACGCCAAGAACCTTTTCCTCACCGCCAGGAACCTTGTCTTCACTGCCAGGAAACTTGTCCTCACTGCCAGGAACCTTGTCTTTACCCCAGGAACCTTGTCCTCACTGCCAGGAACTTTGTACTCAACGCCAAAAACCTTTTCCTCTGCGCCAGGAACCTTGTCCTCACCGCCATGAACATTGTACTCAACGCCAAAAACCTTTTCCTCAGCGTTAGCAACCTTGTCTTCACCGCTTGGGACGTTGTCCTCACCGCCAGGAACCTTGTCTTCACCGCCAGGAACCTTGTCCTCACCACCAGGAATCTTGACCTCACCGCCAGGAACTTTGTACTCTACGCCTAAAACCTTTTCCTGAGCGTCAGGAACCTTGTCCTCACCGCTTGGAACCTTGTCATTACCGCAAGGGACCTTGTCTTCACCGCCGGGAACCTTGTCCTCACTGCCAGGAACCTTGTCCTCAGCGCCAGGAATCCTGGCCTCACTGTCAGGAACCTTGTCCTCACCTCCAGGAACATTGTCCTCACCGCCAGGAACCTTGTCCTCACCGCTTGGAACCTTGTTCTCACCGCCAGGAACCTTGTGTTCACCGCCAGGTACCTTGTTCTCACCGCCAGGAACCTTGTCCTCACCGCTTGGAACCTTGTCCTCACTGCCGCGAACCTTGTCCTCAGCAACAGGAACTTTGTACTCAACGCCAAAAACCTTTTCCTCAGCGCCAGCAACCTTGTCCTCACCGCTTGGAACATTGTCCTCACCGCCAGAAACCTTGTACTCACTGCCAGGATCTTTGTACTCAACGTCAAAAACCTTTTCCTCTGCGCCAGGAACATTGTCCTCACCGCTTGGAACCTTGTCCTCACGGCCAGGAACTTCGTACTCAACGCCAAAAACCTTTTCCTCAGCGGCAGGAACCTTGTCCTCGCCGCTTGAAACCTTGTCCTCACGGCCAGGACCTTTGTACTCAACGCCAAAAACCTTTTCCTCAGCGCCAGGAACCTTGCCTTCACCGCCACAAACCTTGTCGTCACCGCCAGGAAACCTTGTCCTCACCGCCAGGAACCCTGCCCTCACCGGCAGGAACCTTTTCCTAAACTTCAGCAACCTTGTCCTCACCGCCAGGAACCTTGTGCTCACCGCCAGGAAACCTTGTCTTCACCGCCAGGAACTTTGCACTTAACGCCAATAACCTTTTCCTCAGCGCCAGGAACCTTGTACTCACCGCCAGGAACCTTGTCCTCACCGCTTGGAACCTTGTCCTCACCTCCAGGAACTTTGTACTCAACGCCAAAAACCTTTTCCTCAGCGCCAGGAACCTTGCCTTCACCGCCACGAACCTTGTCGTCAACGCCAGGAAACCTTGTCCTCACCGCCAGGAACCCTGCCCTCACCGGCAGGAACCTTTTCCTAAACTTCAGCAACCTTGTCCTCACCGCCAGGAACCTTGTGCTCACCGCCAGGAAACCTTGTCTTCACCGCCAGGAACTTTGCACTTAACGCCAATAACCTTTTCCTCAGCGCCAGGAACCTTGTACTCACCGCCAGGAACCTTGTCCTCACCGCTTGGAACCTTGTCCTCACCTCCAGGAACTTTGTACTCAACGCCAAAAACCTTTTCCTCAGCGCCAGGAACCTTGCCTTCACCGCCACGAACCTTGTCGTCAACGCCAGGAAACCTTGTCCTCACCGCCAGGAACCCTGCCCTCACCGGCAGGAACCTTTTCCTAAACTTCAGCAACCTTGTCCTCACCGCCAGGAACCTTGTGCTCACCGCCAGGAAACCTTGTCTTCACCGCCAGGAACTTTGCACTTAACGCCAATAACCTTTTCCTCAGCGCCAGGAACCTTGTACTCACCGCCAGGAACCTTGTCCTCACCGCTTGGAACCTTGTCCTCACCTCCAGGAACTTTGTACTCAACGCCAAAAACCTTTTCCTCAGCGCCAGGAACCTTGCCTTCACCGCCACGAACCTTGTCGTCAACGCCAGGAAACCTTGTCCTCACCGCCAGGAACCCTGCCCTCACCGGCAGGAACCTTTTCCTAAACTTCAGCAACCTTGTCCTCACCGCCAGGAACCTTGTGCTCACCGCCAGGAAACCTTGTCTTCACCGCCAGGAACTTTGCACTTAACGCCAATAACCTTTTCCTCAGCGCCAGGAACCTTGT